TCATGCTGAATGACACAGTGCTACTTCAAGAACTGAAAAGCTTTGACTTGATAGTTTATGAGAGTTTTTCCTTCTGTGCTGTTTTGGTCTCTGAGCTTCTTGGCATTCCAAAAGTAATCATATTTTCTGGTCCTCCCAATGGTCCAGGAACTTTTGCCCATAATGTTCCTTTTCCAGTATCATACATTCCAGCACCAATGACTTTATTTACAAGCGAAATGACGTTTTTACAGCGTCTTGTGAACTTTGGAGCATACAACTTCATACAGTCTGCAGAACAAGTTTTAATTGCCAGGTACATGGGTTCTCTGAAAGAGGAATACAACATCACTCCTGGGAAGAGCTACCAAGAAGCTGCTGGCAATGCTGAGCTGGTGCTGTTTCTTGCTGATTTTGCACTGGAGTATCCACAGCCTCTTTTGCCAGGTTTGTCAAATAAATGGAAAAGGCTCTGAGCAACTGAGCACTTACCCCTTGCCTGACCAAACAGCAATCAACTGATAACAAGTTGAGTTAAATGTTGGGTCAGGGGAGGGGTAAGTGTGTGGCTGCTTAAATGCTAGTATTAATATCACTCTCATAATTAAGAGAGCTTAGAGTTGGCAATGGTTTTAAATGTGTCATGTGATTTCATTCATGATATGTGAATTTTACAGAAAGGCAAGTTAAACTGAGATTTGAAACATTGAGTTAAGATTAGGTGATACATGAATTTTTTCTATCCAAAATTCCTGTGCATGACCAGATCTGGATCCTGGGCCTTTGGTACTGAAATCCAGCAGATGGTTAATTTAGATTTTGAAATTTATCAATCAGGGAATATTGTCTAGATCTAATGGTAGGCTAATTATCATTTGTCTGTAGTGTTCTGGCCAAAGGGGAGAGACTGGTGTCAAAAGTGCAGAAGGTGGGGGAGTAGGGTAATGTATAGGTATTGAGGGATCTTCAACCTCACCCCCTCCCCCACATATTTCTAAGAATGAACCAGTTAGCACTAACTGTATATCTGTTTTTCTTCTTACAGGTCAAATTATGGTGGGAGCCATTTCTGCAAAAGCAGATCCTGAAACACTCCCCCCTGAATTAAAAGATTTTATTGACAGTGCAGGGGGGCATGGGTTTGTCATTGCCTCTTTTGGGTCATATGCACAAACAATCATAGCTAAGGAGAAGATCGATGTCTTGGCTGAAGCTTTTGGAAAGGTGAAGCAGAAAGTCATATGGAAACTGAAAGGTCTGTAACCTAAAGTAACTTTCCAAAGGGATAGATCTGGTCCCAGTTGGAAAAGGGGCAGATAATGGTATCTAACGGACAAGTGATAGCAAAATTTATAGGGTTATCCACCAGATAGAAATTTATCTAGTGGATAGTGCCATGCAACCTTTCAACAACCAGCAAGTCTGTACATTCTACACCCAAAAGGGTGCAACTACCTCTGGCATGGCAAAGTATGTCAAAGATTTTGTGTCATTGATCAAGTTGATCACGCATTTATAGAATGGATAGGGAGAGCTTGAAAATGAATCCTCTTTTTTGGCTTCTTTTGCAATGATGTGGAGTTGTGGTTATAAATTTCAGTTAATTGTCACTACTGTGTGTCAACAGAATTTTTGTGAATAGGGTATGGAAGTCATTTGTTTGATATCTTATATTACTAAAAGATATAATTGTTGTGATAATTATTATTTCAGGCTACATACCCTCATCTCTCAGGCAAAACATAAGAGTAATGAGCTGGATACCTCAGAGTGATCTGTTGGCTCACAAGGATATCAAAGCTTTTGTATCTCATGTGGGACACAACAGCCTTTATGAGTCAGCATATCATGGGGTGCCTGTGGTGGCTGTGCCTTTGTGTACAGACCAATTTTCTAATGCCAGGAAGGCAGAACACTTTGGACTAGCAAAAGTTTTAGATCACAAAACCATGAATGCTGAAGAACTTTCAGAGGCAATTCAGCATGTTATTGATGAACCAAGGTATATTTATAGAGTGATTTCACTTTCCTCTGAACTGTTAACCCTTACTCATGAGTAACCAAGACAGGATTATTCCTTCTTGATGAGAACAAAGAAAAACATCAACAAGGGGATTATCATTTGATCCAATCCAAATTCTCCAAACTAACATCATAACAATGCCCTTCCCTTCAAATTATTAACTCGTAATATATTCCTTGCTATGTAGAATCATGCAGTGGCAAAATTCTTATGTTAATTTGTATTGTTGTAATTGGCATTGTTAAATGTTGCTATTCTTATTTGTGTCAGATTCAAGAGAGAATCCAAACGCATTTCTCGTCTTATGAAAGACAATCCAAGGACCCCCCTGGAGAAAGCTGGGGACTGGATAGAGTATGTACACAGACATGGTGGAGCCCAACACCTCAGAGCTCAAGTGTTTAACATCCCTTGGTACCAGTACTACTTACTTGACGTCATAGCTTTCCTTGTCGCTATAGTAACATTAGTTGTCATGGTGATTAGGTACACATGCAGGTGTTTATGCAAAGCGTGTTGTAAAAATGGTGCTACAAAAACTAAAAAGGAGTAGGCATGCAATAATCATTGTTCTTAAGGATGTCACTCAACGCTTAATTTTTATTGTTATGACAACAAAGAGACACCTTCAAAAAATTCCAAGCAAATACAAATTGCATGAAATCATCATAGCCAACATCTTGATCGTGATCCTGTTTCACGCACAAAATTAAAAAAAAAAAGAAAGAACGAGTCACGTACACCTGCAACAATACTTCACGCCTCACGAATTTACGAGGGAAAACCTTAAATCTCACCTTACCTGGCTTTTTCACAAAGTTCACGCACCACGTACAAAATTTGGGCGTCACGTAATAGTTAAGTCGTTGCCACGTTCGAGTACAACCGTGTTGATGATACCAAAATAGCCATTTTTTTGTCCTTTCGTATCTTCTTTAAAGAGGGGAGGCGAGGGTGTTGTCCTTTGTAATTTTGCAGATTATCTTACTATGTGGCGCACAAGTTTCGTTGTGGTGGTAAATCTTTGCAGATCTCGCAATTCCGACCCCAAACCACGCAACAGAAACACGCACTGATAAATCCTCATAAATAAGTTTAAATTACTTAAAATAACGCAAATATACGGTTGCCCATAGAGGACAAGCTATCCCATTTTTTAATTCAATCTTACCACGTGATAAATGAGATTTTTCATATAAACTATGGTTTATATGAAAAGCCCTGAGAAAAGTAGCAACAACACTCGTGAAAATATATCGTATTTCTTTCCACGTGTGTTTGATATCGCCAATCAGCTGCTGAACGTCACTTGCCTTTCGCGCCACTCGGCCAGGCTTGATGAATGAACGGCGAAGCTTTCACCATTCTCAATCCAATGTCGCTTGTCGGGATTTGTGCGGAGAATGGCTGCTAAAACACTGAAAAATCCGTATCGCTTACAAACAGTGACGTTCAAACTTTGCCAGAAGGGAAGGAAAACCAAAATGCGGAAAGAAAAACTGAAAGTTACGTATTCAGTGGCTTTGGTAATGGCATTTCTCGCGGCTGAGAGCAAAAATCGACAACTTTCATTTAATAATAAAGTTGACTTTTCTTGTCAGTAAAGGGCTATTGTATTTATATGGTAAACAAAATAATACATGGTTACTTGTAGACATGAAATTTCTCTTCTCGTGTTCAACTCGAGTTAAACACTCAAAGAGAAATTCCATATCTACGTGCGCCGATGTATTATTCTCTATTTATCACGCGATGAAATCAAAATATCGCGCGATGAATGGGAAAATCGTTGGGACGCACGTGACCGGCTGTCACGCACGTAGTTTCTGCGGACGAGACGACAATGGCTGCAACAGTAGAGGAGGTATGTTATGAGGTCAATAGTTTGTTTTATTTTCGTGAAAAGATCATTGACCAGTTCTTTTCAATACTTGTACGACACAGCTTTGTGAATCAGTACGGTAAACCTTGATTTTGCGAAATCTTACGAGACTCTTACAGAGATGACTATCAGTGTCTGAGGACAAGTGTGGATTATCTAATCTTCCTGATTACATTACAGGTTTGTAAATTCCTAGATGGCACTTCAGCATCGCCAACCGCATTAAGATAGAACTTTCCAACTGTTGCAGTCAGTGTCAATGTTGTTTCAAGATCTTGCCTTGAGTCCAATCAATTTATTTAATTATTTTGTTGTTAACACAGTGACAGCATACAGTTCGTTTAATTTTTTCGTGCCGCCCACGATTTATTATGGTACAGTTGGACTTCGAGGTCATTAAATAGCAAATGACTTGCGTGATGTTTGTGCATAATATTTGTCCTAACAGTCCTAAGAAGAAAGATAATTTGCAATGCGTTGAGGACACTGAACTCAAAGTACTAATGTTGATTCTGGGAAATAAAATACAAAATATATAAATTTTACTTTAGAGATTATTCTTAGTTTTATTTGGGTGGTTCCATTTGATGTGACCACCCAGCATAGGTGAAGACAATACAAACAGGCAGTTGGGACTCAGTCAAGGGTGATCACAACCGCTTAACTCTTTAACTCCCAGATCAAATTTGTCATTCTCCTTACTGTCAACCATATAATTCTTATGATGTTACTTTTGATAATTTAGTATTGGATCAACTAATTAACCCCAAATTGATATTTTTCTTTATTCTCATCACTTATCTGGTTGTTATTGTATTGATATTGTAAGGAGAAATTCTGTCTTGGTCAATCATGAGAGTTAAGGGTTAGTAAGGGTGAAAATCACTGGTAATGCTGTGCCACTTAGGGTATACGAGGACATGAGACTTGACGACAGTCCATGCGAAACTTAAGTATGCAGGTGTGACTGATTTTCATTGTGAGAAATTACCTCAGGAAATTTTAGCTTTTGGAACTGGTATTGGCCAGAAGAACAGAAGGTTTTCCCATGAAAGCTATCCAAAGCAACAAAATGAGAAACTTGAAATCCCATGCAAACAAACCAAATAAGCGCTTGTGGGTGAGTACCCTGCTGATATATGTGGATTTCAATGTTATTTCATGAAATGTGATGTTAGGCAATTTTCATGTACACCTTACAATGGCACTATCTAAAACTCTCATATGAGTATATCTTGGTTCAGTTTTTGAATATTCTACAATTTCCTTCCCAGTCAAATAATCATTATTGTCCAAGAACTAGCCTACATTCCTACTTCTCATTATTGTTTGTTAATTGACTTAGATTGGCCTCCTAGAAAAGTTAATAAACTACTAAGCTGATCAATAAAAGTTTCTGTCCACTCTCCCACCAAAAATTCCTGTTTCTGCACCAGGTCAGGGCTTTCAACCCATAATTTCCTTCTGTAAGCACACCCATTCATGAATTAAATATCAATTTTTACAGGTTTGTTAATTAAGACCCACTAGTTCCAAAGATCGAGGAAAGGAAGAAAGGCAGGACTGTATGGACTATTTAAAACAATTGTTTCAGACACCTTTCCTTCTTACAGTTTTCATAAGTTTGAAAGTTGTTGAATGCCAACTGCCTTTCCATCACTTTTTTTCGTCGTTGTGCTCATGTTTGCCAAAAGCGCAGCAAAAAATTATAGTTGATGTCACATGCTACTACGTGTTCCTCTCTTCACCCCCTCTATCCATGCCATTCCTGAATTTTTAAGTGGGTTGCGTGAGCGGTTCGGGATCAGTCAGAGTTTAATTTAAGGGATCATTTTCAGTTGGGAACCATCTGCGGGGCTGGAGTATATGGACAAAGTTGCATTACTAGTGAGTAGAGGGTTATGAGGGGGAGAAGATACAGGAAGGCACTGCGCTATCGCCTCAATAGTCTTTCTTTCCAAAATAAGTGAAGAGGATCTGAGCAACTGAATACTTACCCCTCCCCTAACCAAACAGCAGTCAACTGATAACAAGTAGGGTTAATGTTGGATGGGGGGGGGGGAGGTAGATGAGCATGAGGCTGCTTAGATGTTGGCATTGATCTGCTAAGTAATCCAATCACTCCTGTAATAGAGTTTAGAGTTGGAAAAGGTTTTACATGTGACATGTGATTCCATATCTGATGTGTAAATTTTACATAAAGGCGAGTTAAGGTGTGATGTGAAATTTTCCCTTTGAAATTCATGATGTGTTAAATACTGCTTAAAGACCAAGTGATGCATTAATGTTTTTTTATGTTCAAAATTTGTGCAAAAAACCAGCCAACAGATAAGTGATAGCAAAATGTATGGGGTTATCCATTAGATAGAAATTTATCTAGTGGTTAATTAGCGCTATGGGACCTTTCTATTACAGACATGAGGGGACGCAAATCATCTGTACTGTAAGTATCCCGGAGAGTCCCCTACATTTTCTTAGACTTTTAGTCTAAGAAAATGTATGGGGACTGTAAGGTGTCATAATCCTGTTGCTGCTGACATCGATGTGACAGATAATTGCTTTTGCACTGTTTTCTTTGCCGGCTTATACTTGTCATCAAGTTTCAATAAGACGGCTATCATTTTTCACAAGAATAATGAAGTTTTCGTAAATTGTGAGATCAGATGGGATTAAAATGGGATTAAATCACCTACAGAGCTTGATATGTACTTACAGTGCAGACGATTTGCATCCCCTCGTGGGGTAATGGAAATTTTTGAAAATTATAAATCACAAAATATTGTCTAGATCTAATGGTAGGCTAGTTATCATTTATTTGTAGTATCTTGCCCAAGGGGGGGGGAGGTAATGAGGTATCCTCAACCTCACCCCCTCCTTCACATTATTCTTAGGATGAACCAGTTAGCATTAACAGTTTATCTGTTTGTCTTCTTGCAGGTCAAATTATGGTGGGTGCCATTTCTGCAAAAGGGGATCCTAATACACTTCCCCCTGAATTGAAAGATTTTATCAACAGTTCAGGGGGACATGGGTTCATTATTGCCTCTTTTGGGTCATATGTACAAACAATCATAGCTAAGGAGAAGATTGATGTCTTGGCTGAAGGTTTTGGAAAGGTGAAGCAGAACGTCATATGGAAACTGAAAGGTATGTAACCCTAAGTAACTTTACAAAGGGATAGATCTGGGCCCAGTTGGAAAAGGGGCAGATAACACTATCCAGTAGATAGGTGATAGCAAAATGTATGGGGTTATCCACCAGATAGAAATTTATCTAGTGGATAGCACCATGGGACTTTTCAACAACCGGAAAATATACAGACTTTACACCCAAAAGGGCACTACCTCTTGCATGGCAGAGTGTGTCAAAGATTTTGTGTCATTGAACAAGTTGATCATGCATTTAGAGAATGGATAGGGAGAGCTTGAAAATGAGTCCTCTTTTTTAGCTTCTTTTGCAGTGATGTGGAGTTATAAATTACAGTTAATCATCACAGAGTCAACAGAATTTTTGTGACAAGGATATGGAAATTATTTTTTTGATATCTTATATTACTAAAAGGTATAATTGTTGTGATATAATTATTATTTCAGGCTACATACCCCATCTCTCAATAAAAATATAAAAGTAATGAGCTGGATACCTCAGAATGATCTGTTGGTTCACAAGGATATCAAAGCTTTTGTATCTCATGTGGGACACAACAGCCTTTATGAGTCAGCATATCATGGGGTGCCTGTGGTGGCTGTGCCATTGTATGCAGACCAATTCCCTAATGCCAGGAAGGCAGAACACTTTGGAATAGCAACAGTTTTAGATCACAAAATTATGAATGCTAAACAACTTTCAGAGGCAATTCAGCATGTTATTGATGAACCAAGGTATATTCATATATATATAATTTATTATATCTATTTCACTTTCCTCTGAGCTGTTAACCCTTAATTAAACTCTCATGGGTAACTAAGACAGAATCATTTCTCCTTGATGA